CACTCTGCCAGTACACAAATCTGCTACGAATGCAAACAAACAACTAGCTATACCCTAGCAACTACCAGTTTCAATAGGTATTAGACATTAGCGCTCGCTGAATGAATTCTTCCTATAATTTGATTCCTATTAAGTACTTAGTTTTTTAAATTTCCATCAAAATAGGATAAAATTTTGTATACATCACGTGAGTTAAAAGGTTTATTCATTCGAAGAAAATTAACCCACTCGCTAGGGCTCGTGGTTTAAACTTTCTTCTCATGAATAAACATTAATTTAACTCACTTGGTGTATAATAGTTATTTATACACCAAGTGAGTTAAATGAATGTTTATTCATGAGAAGAAAGTTTAACCCACGAGCCTAGCGAGTGGGTTAATTTTCTTCGAATGAATAAACATTTTAACTCACGTGATGTATACAAAATTTTATCCCATTTTAGATAGATAGACATTCGAAAAATAAGGTACTTAATAGGAATCAAATTATAAAAAGAATTCATATAGCGAGCGCCTATCAAATATTGAAACTGGTAGTTGCTAGGGTATAACTAGTTGTTTGTTTGTATTTGTAGCAGATTTTTATACTGGCCGAGTGACTTAAAGACCGAGAGTGAGTTAAAAATATTTTTTTTACTACTAACCTGAGAAGTAGTCATTATTCAATCTATTTTTCTGGGAAAAAATTGAATTTCTCTCCCTAGGTTAATAATGAAAATAATGAAAAAATACCTAGGTCAATAATGAAAATGACGTCATGATGCAAGGATATTGTCATGTTTCTATTGGTCCAATTTCAATTTCATACGTCAATTCAAAAAAAATACAGGTTTCTGTAGGTACATATAGGAAGTTATCATAAGCTGTTGTTAGAGGGCAGCACTTTCAAAAGGGCGTTCAAAAAAATAATTAAGAGCACAGATTTTGAATATTTTTTTTATTTTCTACTAGTAGTAGTAAAAAAAATTCTATATATTCCTCGGTAGAGAAAGTCATTATATACCGAGCGCTTTTATATGCGTACCAACTTCTCTACCTAGGTATATAATGTACTATTAAGTCACTCAGGTGATAAACGTCTACTTACCTTTGTTATTATGCGTTCAATAATGTCATTTTTAAACGACAAAATGGGATAAATAACTATTATTTGGTGCCCTCTGTGTCTCATCTGTATAAGAGATTTTAATTTAAGTATGATTTCTTTTTCAGGTAGGTACCCGGAAAAGCGAAGAAGAATTATTTAGAAGAAATGAATATGTTTTATTTTATTTTTTATTTATGTTTCCTATCTTTATTTATTAAAAGATCATAATTCCAAAATGTTTGTTTTTTATTTGCAACTGGCTATCAGTGAAATAAAAAATGTACTCAAAAAATACTTCAATGAAGTACTTTAAGAGTACAATATAAATTTACCAAAAAAAGATGTTCTAGTGGTGCTTTTTCTCTGTCGGAGAAGTGCTTTTATGTAGCATTTCACGAATACTTCCAACGTAGGCTTGGAGCACTTAGAGCACTCCATGTTGGAAGTGCGCAATTGCAGTGCTTCTACGATTGCGCCTTTTTTTTACTGGCCGGCTGGACATCCCAGAAGCGGCTGAGTGGTTTTCACAAGTACTTCTCAGGCATGCAAATGTGAAAATACAGTACAATTGAAGTACTTTTCATGTAGTTTTGTGTTATCTGGGGTTGAGGTATAAAGTTGGCTATAATAGTAGGTATATTGTTTTATTAGGAGTAAAAGTGATACTTTTTGTGGCGAGACTAAATGTTTGACGGCCGAACGTAGTGAGGACGACAATTTTAGACGAGCCACAAAAAGTGCTTTTGTCCGAATAAAACATGCGATTTTTTCCGCAAACGGTGTTCAAAGCGATAAAATCTTGGAAATTTCTGTGACGTCACTTTTTTGTCCGGCCGTGAGCGTACAAAAAAGTACTTTTTCTCCGAATGACAGTAAAAGCGGCCTTTTAATGACACTTGACAGGATCAAAAGTTTTTTTTTACTGCCTAGGCAGTAAAAGTGGACTTTTACTGCTTAGGCATTAAAAGTGACAGTGTCACAACGTTCCAGGTAATAATTTCACTCAATTTGGTATTTGGAATTGATGGTGACAATGACAATTGTCAAAATAATTTAATTATTTGGATAATAATAATGAATGAAATAAATATAAAAAAGATGTCCATGTGTGAATTTGAACATTCGGAGAAAAAATTATATGTTTTACATGGCAGAAAAGCAGATTTAATGCCTCGGCTGGTTTCCTAGCCTCGGTCATGAAACGCCAGCCGCGGCATTAAATCTTATACTTTTCTGCCTAGTAAAACAAATAACTATTTTTGTACGCTCACGGAACACGCGGACAAAAAAGTAACCAAAAAAATGACGTCTGTGAAGTCAAACTTCAACATTAAGAATTGAGGTTAAAAAAGTCGTCATTTTTTGACGTTTGCGGAAAAAAGTTTTTTATGTGTGTGGCAATCTCCTTAGTATCCGACATTATATTACCTTGTGGATCTTCAATCTTGGTGATTATAAAGTCTGTTTTTTTTTAAAGATAATAGACCTACCTCCTATTACCTGGACTGCGCGCGTTGCTTGTAGGCTGCAGGTGAGCGTCCAATGAGAAGCAAGTTTGTGACAGGCATGCGTCATATTCTTATTCAGAAGCCAGTTCAGAATGAATCGTTCCTTCTTTCTTTGTAACGTGTAATTTGACAAAGAGCAAACTAATACTTTACATATTACTTGAACTCACCGCAGTTTCGTTTAAGATTATGTTAGATTATACTTGAGATATTCCTTTGCAATTTCATTGAGCGATGTTGCCGGATGAAACATTTATCAAAATAAAAGTGCAAACGATGTTCATCCACTTTAAAGCTCTTCTTTTGTCTGATTTAAGGCGTTGTAAAACACTTGACACTATATCACTTCTTCAATGTTATAATGTTCGGTTTGTATTGTCTACATTTGTTCTGCAACAATAAAATCTGGCTACACTGCAGCCTACGAGTTGCGCACGCAAGTCATCTTTTATTGCTTTCTAACTTGTATTTCTTACAATTAAGCTCTCTTTTTCTAATCATGCGAGATAGGTCTATTCCCCAAGTCAAAAATTTAGTAACTATGTTGGCAACATGAGCCTTTTCTACATAAAAAATTCGAAAGCATCGACAATTTTACATTGTATTGCCAACATAATGTCATTTTGACTTTTATCTTTAAAAAAAAAACAGATTTTATGTTTACCTGAGGATAGTTTGGATTTCAAGTCCTTCATGTTTGCATTTTTCTCTATGGTGTGGTGTTTTTGATTTGGTCTGTGTTGTATGTTCGAATATCCTTTCTCACCTGTTTGCTAATTCTCTTATTCAATTTTTGGTAATCCGCCGAGTCTCTAGAGGTTTCTCTTCTTTGTTTCATGAGGTCTAGTGTATCTGGCTTTAATTTGTGATATTTCTGGTTTCGGACCTTGGTGCAGATCTTCTTTGTCGCCGTGCAGATATGGGTATTAATTCTTTTACTAAGTTCGTTTATGTCCATATGTTTTCTAAGGCTTTAATCTGTGTCAGTTTCTTTGTCAGTTCTTTCTGATATATTTCCTCATTTTGGCGTAACATCGCACTGGTGGGAAATTTGTCTTGGTGGATTAATTTATTTCTTTCGGTTCTAAGATTGAAACTAAACAATGCCCTTACCAGTCTATGGTCGCTACCTGTGTCGAATTGGTTTAATACTGAGACGGCTGTACACATTTTTCTGTTGTTAGAGATAATATAGTCGATCTCATTCTTTATTTGGCCGTCCGGGCTTTTCCATGTCCATTTTCTCTGCTTCAGTTTTTTGTAAAATGTGTTTAGACAGTATAAATTTTCTTTATTGAGATAATCAATTAGCATATCTCCATCTCCACGCGGATTCCTTATACCTAAGCCAAAACTACCGACGTTATTTGAGTCGCCCGCATTTCTTTGGCCGGTTCTGGCGTTGAAGTCTCCAGTAATGATTTTATAATGACATTTCTCTGATTTAATTGCTCTGGACAGATCCTCGAAAAAGGTTTCCATCTCTTCGTCATCCGAGCTGCTCGTTGGTGCATATCCATGGATCAACTGAATGCTGTACCTCCTGTTCAATCTAAGTATTATGTATATGACTCTGTTTGAGATGGAGATGAATTTAGTTAGTTAGTGTACCAGTTTTTTATTCACAAGAATCGCAACACCTCCTTGGCCATTATTGTTGTCAGAGTTGTTTTGATGTAATATATGACTTGATTTTAGAACAGTAGTTTTTTCTCCTGGTAGACGTGTTTCACACAGTCCCAGAATGTCCCATTTAATATATACCTACATAGGTATCCTTAAATGTTAATAAAATAAGTAGGTACTAGACAATTTTCAGGACCTGTACAGAGTTTAAAAAAAATATTGCCAGAAGACCTTAAGTTTTCTTCACTTATAATATTACATCTTAAAAATGTTGAATACATTAATTGTTTCATAGTATATACCTACCGCCAAGTGGCCATCAAGTCATTTTTTTTATCATACTCAATAACAAACTGCAAATTAAAAAAAAATCAAATCCTTGATGATTGTAAGAATGCAAAATTTAAACCTACAATCAGTATCGTTTCGAATTGCAATGGGCAATTTCTTATTCGTAAATATTAAAGGTACGTTTACCATGCCAATAAAACTTATCAAAGTTGTCTTGGGCTTTTGGTTTCACGTCAAGTAAGTACATAATATTATTATAATCATTCTTTGATTCAAAATTAATTAGGCAAATGTTTGAAATTTCCCTCGTAATCACGGTTGAATTAAATAACGTTAAAAAAAACAAGTTTTGGCCAACCAAAATAAACAGAGATATATTTCAGCACAGTTCAACTAGCATTAGAATAATAACAATCGGCAAAAATAAAAATTAACTTATTATTCGTTAATCCGTTTGTAAACAAATTCCACAGACAAATGTAATCGTTCTAGACTTCAAGTTGTTGATCTGTGATAACGCAAGTGGTAACCGATAAAAAAAAGGTTTAAATAATTAGTTTTAGATTTTTTCGCTCTGAATTAATTTGTATTTTTAAAAGGACTAAAATGGTTTACGGTATTTTTATATAATTATTGTGTGATAACTTTGAATGTGAGAAAAAAGACAAAAAGTAGGTAGGTACTTAGTAGATAAATTATAGAAAAAACTTTAAATTTCTTCCTATAGGTACTAGTTAATTTTTTTTTAATATCATAATTACTTATTCGGTTCTTTCAGATCAGCGTTATTGATAAATTAATACAAAACATTATTATTTTAGCAAGCGGGTGTTTGCAATTAAAAATTGTTTAAAAAAATCTATTTTGGTGGCATCCACAATTTAAGTACCTACCTACCTATGCTTTTTTTAAAATTATTGAACTTTATTTTTGAGGGGTTGGTTTGGGATCTTAGGGGTTATTTTTTGGGGATTCACTAGCGTTGTTCGAACACATCAAGAAACCGTAGAATGTAAAAATTTGTACGTAGAACCCAAAATTCGTATACAGGGCTATTGGTAATTCGATACATTCCTTTGGGGGTGTGATAGAGGATGAGGTAAGGAGTGAATTTAACCATAAAATGATTAATGCCAAACTCAATAGTTTTTGAGATTTTTCAATGTTCCTGTTTTTCTTAAAAACATAGACCCAACTGCTTTAAAAATTACTAAACATCTACCGTACATTTTTTCAACATCCCTACGCGATTACGTTCCCAAAACTTTATGAGCGGAATAAAAAATATGCAGAAACATTTCCATCATAGGAAAATATACAGGGTATCCCAAAAGAACCGGAACGGTCAAATATCTCGGCAACGGCGTGACATAACGGTATGAAATTTGGTATACGGGGGTTCTGAATAGTGCCAGATCTAAAAATAATATTTGCAACGTTGCCAGTTTTACAGTTTTTCCGATAAATCTCTCAACTTTAGTTTTTTAAATGCAAAGCTATGGTGGTTTTTCATTTAAAATGTTAATCAAATCAAAATGTTTTTAAGTCTATATTATTAATTTTTTCTTTTTCGCATTTTGAAAGATATGGCAATGATGCATTTTCATTTAAAAGAACTGGTACGGTGAAATATCTCATCAATGGCGTAAGAGAATGTGATATTATCAGGAATTATTTAGTTAAGTGTTTAAATACCGGACCTTAGAAATTTCAGAAAATTTTTATTAAAGTTCTGATTTTTATAAAATATTTTAAACACTTAAAAATCCATAACTCGAAAACTAAACAATCATTGGAATTCATACTTGTGAGGTACAAGAGCATCGGAACAACTCAAAAACCGTGTGCGACTTTTTCAAAAGTTTAATATTTTTTTGTATTTTTATTTTATTTTTTTCTTAAATTTTGACATGTCCTTGTATGATATCCAATTGCTCGGTAATGGACGTCTTTGGTCAAATATCAAATAGATATTCCAAAAGACAAATAAATTACGAATGATTTAAGACCTTTTTGGACTCGACACATTTTAAAAACTTCTAGAAATTTTAACTTTATATTAAATTTTTATTTGCTTTATCCTAGCAATGTTCCTATGAACATTTCTACAAAAATAAGTTGGTCATCGGAAAGCAGATAACTCGACAAAAGTAAAAGACTCAACGTATTAGTGCTCAAAAATATTGGACATTATTTTCCAAGCAATATCCAAGTCTGTAATAACTCACGTATAGTATTATAGTAAAATTTCATGACAAGTTGAAATTTTTAGATTTTTTTTTAAATTTTCTATTTCACCAATTGGTTCCAAAAAGGTATTAAATAAATAAATAAATAAATAAATAAAATCAAAATAAAAAAAAATATTGAAATTTTGAAAAAGTCGAAACAAAGTTTTTGAATTCTTCCGGAGCTGTGATTCCAATGATTGTTTAGTTTTCGAGTTATGGATTTTTATCCCATTTTGACGTTTAAAAATGACATTATTGAACGCATAATAACGAAGGTAAGTAGACGTTTATTACCTGAGTGACTTAAATAACTATTATCTACGACCTGCAGAATAAGTGACTATTATGTCACTAATTTTTGCTCATTTGCGTTATTTAATGAGTCCTATTACCGCACTAGTGCGGTAATGAATCATAACGCGTTCATTATCGCACTAGTGCGGTAAGAGGTCATCATTTTTTTATAAATACACAATCGAGTACACAATAGTTATTTATAATTTTTTTGCTTTAGTTAGTGACCTCAGTAGATATCCCGATTGTTTTTTTTTTTTGAGAAAGGTTGGATTTAGGTCAAAAATAAACGGCGTTGAAGAAGATAGGCAAATACACATTTTCTTCTTCATCGCCGTTTATTTTTGACCTAAATCCAACCTTTCTCGAAAAATCCAACCGGGTTATTCATATTAGACAAACGACAATAGTTACTTATTGTGCAGGTCGTAGATAAAATGTTGTATATCACACGTACGGTAAGGCTCATTACAACACTCGTGTGGTTACCATGACTCGGTCCACGACCTCGTCGTGGCAATATTCCCCACTCGTTACTGTTGTAATGAAGCTCATACCGTACTAGTAATATAAATAACTATTAAGTGTTTAAAATATTTTATAAAAATCGGAACTTTAATAAAAAAAATATGAAATTTCTAAAGTCCATTATTTAAACACTTAACTAAATAATTTCTAATAATATTACATTATGTTACGCTGTGGGTAAGATATTTCACCGTTCCAGTTCTTTTAAATGAAAAAGAATTATTGCCATATCTTTAAAATTTCGAAAAAGAAAAAATCTACTAATCCCAGACTTTAGTTTGACCAACATTCTAAATGAAAAACTACCATAGCGACGCATTTGATTTAAAAGATTTATCGGAAAAACTGTAAACTGGCAACGTTGCAAATATTATTTTCAGACCTAGCACTTTTAAAAACCTCTGTAGGTATACCCAGGGCCGGCCCTACCATAAGGCGAACGGAGCCGGCGCTCCAGGCGCCAGGCCTCAGGGGGCGCTCCGACTCGTTCCTTGGTGATAAAAAAAGGAAAGAAAGCAAGCACGTGGTTAGCATGTGATTAGATAGATAGAGACATATCATATTACATAATAATATGTAATGTTTCCGAATTTTGAATCGGAGAGGATGGTTGATCTTCGGCAGCTTAAGCTATCTTCACTTGATGTTTTTGACAGAATTTGCAAATTAAAGCAAAGTCTCGGTGTTGGGCCAGCAGATGGCATACCGTTTGTTTTCCTACAAGGCTGCAGGTTTGTTCCGTCTCAAATTTTGTGTGATATTTTTAATATGTCATTGTCTATTGGTATCTATCAGACATTGAAAATTATCAAGCAATATCAAAGGTTTCCTCTGGGTAGCCAAAGTTTTTGAAGGTATTGTTGCAGATAAAATCACCCCAAATTTTAAGAATGTCGAATGTCATTATCAATGGACAACATGGTTTCATGAAGGAAAGATCCACCATAACAATGATCAAAATCGATGCTCGAGCATATATACTTCATTCATACATATAAGGAATTCATTTGCATTTTATTACTATTTAATAGTCATAAACAGGAGCTGAAACCCAGCAGAAGGTAGATCTTAGGTGCTTTTCAGTGACCCATTTGAGTTACTCTGAGCAGCTCAGGAGTGCTCCACAATTACTTTGCGCGTTCCAGTGCTTAGAGTGTCGTACACTTGAGCTACTCATTTCTGTTATCCCCTGCCCCCTCGTGCACTAACCCTTTTGTCTGTGTTTCATGCTCCTGAAATCCGAAATGGTGGGGGTTAAGACGAGAGCGTTCCAGTGCTGCTTATGTCGAACAGTTCAAGAGCGTCACACTTCAGGAGCATGATACTCTAACAATTTAGGCACTGGAAAGCGGCTTTGAACTACTCATTTCTGTTATCCCCTGCCCCCTCGTGCACCAACCTTTATTTCGGTGTTTCATACTCCTGGGCCCGGATTCCAATTGACAATACGATATCGGATTAGGCGCTTTCGGTGAAATTCACGATTCCCATTCGAGGTCGCTTCGAATAGAACGATATCGGATTACTCGCCAGCTCTATGATGGTGAATTGCTCGCTTTCGACATGAAATTGACAACATTGACACGTTTTGTTGTTATTTTTCTATTCTTTACGACTTGAATGATTTTTCTATGGAAAGGGAAAGTCCAGTGCAGATTTTGATAAAATTAGGGACTGAATTATGGTACATCCCTTCAGCCAGAAAATTATTTAAATATTTCTAGCAATCAATCGTCTATTTCTTTCTCGTCGAGCAATTCCTATTGTAGACGATTGTGAATAATATTGGGAGCATTTTTCAGTTTATCCTTTAAAGACACTATCTATTAGTAGCTACCTACATAAAGAAATTTCAATAAACAAGTTGAAAGTAAACATATAAAGTGGTACCTACTTAACCTACTCATTGGTACCTACTGAAAATTCTAATTACCCAGCCTTATTAGTGGTCCTCACAATAGTGAGAAGAAAAATATACGGTTGCTACGGATTTCGATACCGACCTATCCGTTGTTGAATACGATTTCGAATGGGAACTCCGGATTGCTGGATATCGTATTTGGTATCGAGTACGAAAGCGATTCGATTTCGTGATCTCGAAGCAAATGGAATCCCCTAGCTGAAGTCCGAAATGGTGGGGGTTAAGATGAGAGCGTTCCAGTGCTACTTATGTCGAACAGTTCAAGAGCGTCACACTCCAGGAGCATGATACTCTAACAATTAAAGCACTGAAAAGCAGCTCTTAGAGGTAGATATAGATATGGGTGAGTTGTACTAGCCCAATGCTCTGCTTTTTTATTTAAAATTGGTAACCCACTTTTTTACCTAATGACATAGGTAACTATTTCCTTTGTTTTCTTCAGTATATGGGGTATATGCACGTGGCCGAACACCAGTACCTAAGTAAGGCAAATAATTTATTGAATTTCATGACATTTCTTATATCGGTGAATAGAATAGAGTACCTATACGATTCACATTTAAAATAGGGGCGCCAAAGTAGGATCTCGCTCCATCCTAAAAGTAACCTCGGGCCGGCACTGGGTATACCAAATGTCATAACGTTGTATTAAGCCAGTGCCAAGATATTTTACCATTTCAGTTCTTTTAAATGAAAATGCAGTATTGCCATATTATCTTTTAAAAACCACAAAAGAAAAATTTGATATTTTGGGATTGTGAACACTTTGGCTTGACCAACATTTTAAATGAAAAACTACCATAGTTTTGTATTGAAAAAACTAAAGTTGAGAGATTTATCGAAAAAACTGTAAACCTGGCAACGTTGCAAATATTATTTTTAGATCTGGCACTTTTAAAACCCCCTGTATACCAAAGTTCATAACGTTGTATTAAGCCGTTGCTAAGATATTTTACCATTTCATTTCTTTTAAATGAAAATGCTGTATTGGCATATCTTTTGAAAACCACAAGAGAAAAATTTGATATTTTAGGATTGTAAACACTTTGTTTTTACCAATATTTTGAATGAAAAATTACCATAGTTTTGCGTAGAAAAAACTAAAGTTGAGAGATTTATCGGAAAAACTGTAGAACTGGCAACGTTGCAAATATTATTTTTATTTAGTTCCGGCACTTTTAAATACCCCTGTATACCAAATTTCATAACGTTGTATTAAGCCGTTGCTAAGATATTTTACCATTTCAGTTCTTTTAAATAGAAATGCAGTATTGCCATATCTTTTAAAAGCCACAAAAGAAAAATTTGATATTTTAGGATTGAAAATACTTTGGTTTGACCAACATTTTAAAAGAAAAATTATTAGCATTTAAAAAAATAAAGTTGAGAGATTTATCGGAAAAACTATAAATCCGGCAACATCGAAAATATGATTTTATACCAAATTTTATACCGTTATGTCATGCCGTTGCCGAGATATTTGGGATGGATTTTTGGGATACCCTGTATATGTATACAGGGTGTCCCGTTAGTGCGATATCGGACGATATCTCCTTACAGGGTGATGCAAGAAAAAAAAATTAAATTACAAAGTTGTTTGATGATACTCTAATGTGCGATAGTTGAAAATATGTTTGAATATACAGGGTGCTCCGTTCATGAGGTATGCGACAGAACTTTGTTTTTTTTTTGAATGGAACACCCTGTATGTGTTTGCATCGTATAAGCCTTTACGGAAACGCTGATCCGATCACAAGCTCTTTGTTTTTCATTTTTCTTCAATGAACACGATTGAAAAAAAAAACAAATTACACCAGGTAGTGATTGGGTTAATCAGATCAGCGTTTGCGTAAAGGCCTACAGAGAGTATACGAATTCACGTGGCGTATCTGGCTACTGACGTCACGCAGCCTAGTCTCGCGTACAGGTACGTTTTTTATCCTGGCGCCGATCTTTGATTTTCAGCTGCTCGCAACAAACGCAAATAATATTTTGCGCTCAAATTTTTTTTGATCGTTTTTTAGCAACAAAATCTCTCGATTTTAGTTTAAATGAAAGAATAACAAAAAATGTCGAACCTTCCTATTTCATATCGGTTGTTTTTATGAAATTCATCAAGCAACACGTGTAAACTTTTTAAAAAAAACTTCCTTATTTCAATAGGTATCCAACAAGGTACAAACGATACCAGAATTGATCGAAGGTTCCAAAAGAAAAAATAGTACACATGATGCAAATGAGAGAATTATTCATTGGGTGCCTTCTCTTGGTTACTTATTTTTGATGATACAGCGGCAGTTTAAATTTATTTACCAGATAGTTTTTATTACAAACAAAGACCATAGTACGAAAGCGTAGAGCTGCCATGCTAATATTAAAAAATATTTTTATAAAAATTTACAGTTTTTCTGTAAATTTACACTTTTTCTGTAAATTTACACTTTTTCTGTAAGTTTACACTTTTTCTGTAAATTCAGTTAATAGTAAGGGTTAGTTTGGGTTAGCTTGCAATTTTAATCAGAGATCACCAAACTTACCGATAATAACCCGGTGAGTTTGCAGTTTTAACATTAATAAACTTTCAACGATAATAACCCGGTTAGTTTGGCTTAGTTTGCGATTTTAATCAAACATTACCATTATGTTTTCCAAATTATTGATTTTCGAAGTATTAATTTTCGAAAAATATATTTTCAAAATTATTGAATTTTGAAAGAAAAGATTCGAAATAAGCGTTTTCGAAAAGGTTTATTTTCGAAATAACAGCATTCGGCAAAAAATCGAAATTTGTATTCTCGAAAATTGAACATGCATACAGGACTGATAAAAATTGCAAACTTATCCGAACTAATCAGGTTATTGTTATTGTTGTTGGTAATTGTCAGACTCTAAATTGCAAAATAACCCAAACTAACCAGGTTATTATCGGTAAGTTTGGAAATGTTTAATTAAAATTGCAAAGTTACCAAAACTTACCGGGTTATTATCGGTAAATTTGGTAATGCCTTCTTAACACAAACTACCCAGGTTATGATTGGTAAGTTTGGTAATGCATTTTTAAAACTGTAAACTAATGGGGTTATTATCCGCGAGTTGTCAGTAACCCAAACTAACCAGGTTGTTATTGGTAAGATTGGATATATGCCTGATTAAAATTACAAACTAACTTAAACTAACCGGGTTATTATCGGTAAGTCTGTAATGTCCGTCGTTTTTAATCTGACACTTTCCGTATGAAGAGCGAGGAGGTGAAGATTATAGCAAAAACAGGTGTAACGTCAGGTGTCCATTGGCGTTCTAATGTCCGATGCAGCAAGGTTTGGTTGATATAACGTTGAATTTACGATACTTCCCAACGTTGCATTACGTTGTAACAACAGTTGAATGTACGTTGACAGGACGGCACAATGTCATAATTGAGACAACGTTGAATGTGACCGTTGAATTAACGTCGTTTTTTTTGTTGGCCTCAATCTTATAACAACGTTGATCAGATGTATTCGAGACGTCAGATTTCACGTTGAACTCAACCGTTATCACAACCTTGACCAGATGTAATTAAGACGTCAGATTTTACGTTGAGCCTGAGGTTGAGCTCAACCTTTATTTACAAGTTGAAATAGAAAAAATAGTACAAAAAACATGCTTCATAAGACATTTGATATCAAATTGCGTCTTATGAAACTTGTTCTATAGCTGGCTCTGGCAGAACAGTTTTCAATTAAAATAAAATCACCAAAATGTTTGAGGTTATATAGGTACTTTATTCCACACATTTTTTAAATAAACACAAACCACAAACTCTTTGACACAAAATTTAATATATCGAAACAGTAAGGGGACACAAATTTGATCAAAATAAAACATTATTTGGAAGATTGTTAAAATACAACTGGCTCGTTTGCTCTTAAATAGGAATTGAAAAGTATGAAAAGATTTCTATAATTTTGAGGAATTATTTCCGCCTAACAACAATTTCCACCAATCGAAGTTAAATCCAGGCTGGACACATTAATAAACACACAATGACAAAAATAATAACACCCCCAAGAATTGAGCTGGTGGCTCCCTACATTAGAACGCCAATGGTCACCTGACGTTACACCTGTTTTTGCTATAATCTTCACCTCCTCGCTCTTCATACGGAAAGTGTCAGATTAAAAACGACGGACATTACAGACTTACCGATAATAACCCGGTTAGTTTAAGTTAGTTTGTAATTTTAATCAGGCATATATCCAATCTTACCAATAACAACCTGGTTAGTTTGGGTTACTGACAACTCGCGGATAATAGCCCCATTAGTTTACAGTTTTAAAAATGCATTACCAAACTTACCAATCATAACCTGGGTAGTTTGTGTTAGCAACTTACAGTTGCTTCTGTGCTAAACGTTTTTATTTGTCAAAATAAGTAAATCATACTTTATTGTATCTATATTTTGTGATAAATAAAAGCTATTTTGATTGATTGATTGATTGAGTTGGCAGTTTTAAGAAGGCATTACCAAATTTACCGATAATAACCCGGTAAGTTTTGGTAACTTTGCAATTTTAATTAAACATTTCCAAACTTACCGATAATAACCTGATTAGTTTGGGTTATTTTGCAATTTAGAGTCTGACATTACCAACAACAATAACAATAACCTGATTAGTTCGGATAAGTTCTCAATTTTTATCAGTCCTGTATGCATGTTCAATTTTCGAGAATACAAATTTCGATTTTTTGCCGAATGCTGTTATTTCGAAAATAAACCTTTTCGAAAACGCTTATTTCGAATCTTTTCTTTCAAAATTCAATAATTTTGAAAATATATTTTTCGAAAATTAATAATTCGAAAATCAATAATTTGGAAAACATAATGGTAATGTTTGATTAAAATCGCAAACTAAGCCAAACTAACCGGGTTATTATCGTTGAAAGTTTTTTAATGTTAAAACTGCAAACTCACCGGGTTATTATCGGTAAGTTTGGTGATCTCTGATTAAAATTGCAAGCTAACCCAAACTAACCCTTACTATTAACTGAATTTACAGAAAAAGTGTAAACTTACAGAAAAAGTGTAAATTTACAGAAAAAGTGTAAATTTACAGAAAAACTGTAAATTTTTATAAAAATATTTTTTAATATTAGCATGGCAGCTCTACGCTTTCGTACCATAGTGTTAGGCCAGTAATCCAGTAGAAAAGTTGAATAAATGTACGGTAGATTTTTTGCTAATTAATTTTTAATGCAATAGGTCTACATTTTTGAGAAAAACAGAAATATTGAAATATCTCAAAAAATATTGAGTTTTGCGTAAACCATGTTACGGTTAAATTTACTCCTTACCTCATCCCCTATCACATCTCCAAAGGAATGTATTGAAGTACCAATAACTCTGTATAGAGAGAGTGGTTTCGAAACCGTTCATGGGGCTGTTTTTGACGTGTTGGAAAATCAAGCTAGTGTGATTCAATTATTAAAAAATTATATCATTGTACTTTCAGCAAGTCCATCCTATTCAAAATGATTGACGTGATAACATGCGCGCTGGCAGTGATATTCTTCATATTCCTTGGCTACAGACCTCCATGGTACAATAAAAAACTTCAAGAATTCCAAACGAAAGAAATACAAAATATTCCTGGTCCTTTGGCCTTACCGATTCTAGGAACCAGATGGCTGTTTAGCATAGGAAGATACAAAATGAACAAAATCCACGAGTATTATATTGAAATGAGGGAAAAATATGGAGGAATATTTAAAGAAGAAGCTTTGTTTAATATTCCTGTAATCAGTGTTTTTGATAAAAATGATATTGAAAAAGTTTTGAGAAATACATCAGGGAAATATCCAATACGTCCTCCTACTGAAGCTATTGCAAAGTTCAGGTCAGAACATCCTGAGCGGTATGCAAGCACAGGTTTAACTAACGAACAAGGTAATAAAAAAAAACTAACAATAAAAAACGAATTCAAATTCAAATCAATTCCAGGTGAAAAATGGCATTTCCTAAGAACATCTCTGACGACAGTTTTAACCAGCCCAAAAACAATCCAGGATTTCTTGCCTCAAATGAAAGACATAGCCGATGATTGGTGCCATTTGATAAAACAAAAACGGGACGAGGATGGATTTATTAACAATTTGGAAGAACTTGCAGGCAGATTGGGATTAGAAGCCACGTGTGCACTCGTACTGGGTAATAATATTTTTTTTTGCAGATCTCGAACTTACAACTTATTTATTACCTGGAATGCGCCGACCCCCCTGTTGGTCGGGGTTAGATGTACATATGTGCATATTTTATAATGTTGACAAAATTTATACAAAAATTTTATTTTAATTTAAATTTTATAATTTTGATAATGCGGGTTATCATTGACTTAGAGATCCCATTCGCAGTGGTAATAAACGAGCGCCAATCATGGGAGGATAAAGAATTACCACAAGGAGACAATGCATCTCTGTGGTACACAGATGGAACCAAACTAACGGAAGGAGCTGGCCTGGACATTTCCGGCCCTAACTTTAAGCTCTCCAAGGCATTGGGCATCTTACAATATTTCAAGCCGAACTGCTTGCCGTAAACATTATGTGCACAAGAGTGCCTCAACCAAAGCCTCACAGGAAAACATATCTTCATTCTATCAGATAGCCAAGCCGCCTTTGCTGACAACACCACTAGTGTCCATAGTAGTGGAGAAAGAACACCCCCTGATGCTCCGTTTATTTCAGCCGTAATGCCGTAACGTAACGGTGTTTTAGCATCGACTCTATCCATTTTACAATAATTGGGACTTCAACATTCCACTATTCTTGTAAGGCTCTAGCGATTGACTGATGTGAGGTTTTGTCGAAGGCATCCTATATGTCAATGAATCCTGTGAGGCGATCTCTTTGCACCTGATTGTCCTTTCAATGTCTTTATTCACGCAGTGTAAAGCACTAGTTGTGGATTTGCCTGGCTGATAGGCAAATTGCTTTGAGTAGAGCGGTCTTCTCAATAGAGTTTCGCTTCTGATGTAGGTACTGGTCAATTGCGTTCTCCTTTGTTTTGAGGTCGACCATATCGACGACCAGTTTTTGGTATCAATATATAATAAAAGCTTCCCTCCAAGATAGCGGTATGTATCCTAGGACCCTGCTCGCTTTGAATAGTTTTTGTAAGTGGCCCTTTAAGTACTCGTAGCCTGTTTGCAGTTGTGCGGGAAAGATCCCGTCTTTGCCTAGAGATTTGTAGGGTCTGAAACTATCAGTCGCCCATTTTATTCTGTTCATTGTGAAGATTTTCCCTGCCAGTCTTTTCCGTTAGGGCTTTGAGACCCTTCGATAGACGGAGTGACTTGGTCCAGGGCTTCTACGATTACCGACCCTGGAAAATGAGTTTGTAGCAGTACCTATAGACTTTCTATATGGTCGGTAAAGTGTTCTCCGTTTGGCTTTTTTAGCAGACCAATTCCGTTTGAGTAGTTTTTTGAAAGCACTTTTTGGAGACGTTGAGCTGAGGCTAATTCGTCTATCCCCTCGCAGAATTGTCTCCATGATTTGAACCCAGGACCCTCGCATTTCCAGTGCAACGCTCTACCAACTGAGCTATCGGGTCTTCAAAAAAAAAAAAAACAATCAAAGATTGCTATGTTTTTTGAAACGTATGTCTTAGCAGTATTTTTCTTTAATTTTTTCAATGAACTCTAATGTCAAAATGCCATGTCAAAAATCCTGACCAATAAAGAAACAATAATGCGACGTACGTTTTCGTAACCAAAGCAATCTTTGATTGGTTTTTTTTTTGAAGACCCGATACCAAGACCTGTTTCATTTCTACCTTGTCGATCAAGTCTTTCATCAATTTTAAGTTGTTAGTTGTGAAGACCAACGGCAACCTTCGGCGGTTACCGTTGGTATGGGAGTGAGTTAGAATTATGGGAACACATTCGCAACTAACAACCTAAAATTCATGAAAGACTTGACCGACAAGGTAGAAATGAAACAGGTCTTGGTAGCTCAGTTGGTAGAGCGTTGCACTGGAAATGCGAGGGTCTCTGGGTTCAAATCCTAGTCGAGGCAAGAAAATTTTTCATCAATTTTAATTAATACGTCTGCATGCCACTAAAATTAAACACACTATAAATTATACACTGAAAAAAAGAGGTACACTAATATAACGAAAAAGTGCATTAAGTCAGTGAATCTCGTCATTAATATTGAGCCGGTGAACGAATTTGTTAATATTATGAAAAGCTGTTCGTTAAATAGATGAAAAAAAGGTTCATTGATTTAACGGTTGAATTCATTGTCGCAGAGTAAAGATTCTATCATTTTGACGTATAGAATTCGTTGTCTGAGTGAAATAACTTCTTCAATATAATGTACAAATAACATTGGTTTAATGAATCGAATTTTCAATTTAATGTATGCGGTTTCATTGGCTTAACGTATGAATGCATTATCCTAGGCTCAGTTGCATGAACAAGAATATTCATTCTGTTCAAGTTAACACGAGCTGAACTGTGATTAAACCCTCAAATTTATTAGGCATGTTGAATCATCATCATCATCATCATCATCATAGGAAATCACTTGGTACCGAGTATGATTACCTTCTATTCTATGCTTCGTCAGTTGTGCGTGTTCTGATGGCTATATAAACCAATTCTGGAGCCGCACACTCTTCTACAGTCTTGGCCCATCCAGTCTCTGACAGCATTGTCTCTTCTTCTGATCTCTCGCTCCTTCCTGCATTCCCTTTGCCAAAATTTTCTTTAGAATATCTTTGTAGCGTTTTTGTTGACCTCCTTGAATCCGTTTTCCATCTTTCAGCTGTCTGTAGAGAATCTGTTGTGGAAGACGTGTTTCGGGCATGCGGAGGGGGTGACCTGTCAAGCGAAGTTAGTGCTTGATGATAAGGGCTTCCAAGTTAGTTGGGTTGGCGTCCTCTAAAACACTAATGTTCGTTCGTCGGTCTGGCCACTTAATCCGTAGGATCCTTCTTAGGCATCGTTGGTGGTATTTTCCTAGGCTTTTTATGTGTTTTCTGTAAGTGGTCCATGTTTCGCAGTTATTTATGTAAGGGTTGGTATTACAACTGTATCGTAGACATGAAGTTTGATCTCAGCGCTAATGTCGTGATTGTTGCAAACTCTGTCTAGAAGTCGCCCAACGCCGCGCTAGCACACTTCAAGGCTTGAAGTGTGCTAGCGCTAGTTCAAGCAATGTTGGATTTCAGCGTCAATGGTTGCCTTTGCTGACAGATGGCTCTCGGGTAGTGTCCCACCTTCTGCAATGCAATGCCATTTGTACACTATAAATGAAGAAGTTATTCCACTCAATGAATTCCTGAATTCCGAATTTCTTCCAAAAAGAGTTGAATTTAACACCAACACAAAATATAATTTCCGGATAATTTACGATTTACTGTCGATGATATGGAGTGCGACTGTGTTTAATGAATTCTATACGTTAGCATGACGAATAGGTCTATATGGAAACTATAAAATTCATTAAATTAATGAATAAAGTTCGTTAGTTAAAAACGTTCATTAAATCACTAACACATTCGTCAAGCTGATGAAACATATTCATTAATTAATGAACTCTTGGTCATTGTTTCGATGCATAACTTCATTGACACAATGAAGAAACTTCCATAAGCATGATGAACAAATTTTTTGGAATAAGAAATAATCATCGGTACAATGAATGTGGTTTATGAACGATTATTCATAAAATCAAGGAATAGAATCACTGGTCTGCAAAGAAAGTTCCTTATACTGATGAAAGTGTTCGTTCGAACAATGGAAAATAAAAATTCACGGGTTTTATGATAATAATGAACATAAATTCGTTACAGTAAGGAACGAAGTGATTAGGCTATGAACACTGGTTAATTGGATTGATGAAGTATTTCATTTAATTAATGACAAATAAATAACAACCGCCATTCGTCCATATTATGAACGATTTTTTTTTCAGTGTATAAGAGACGATAAAACTTCTAACAAACTTATATTAGGCCTTCTTCAGGGCTGAAAGTAAAGGAAATACACACTCGTATTTCCTATCTACCTACCTTAAAATTTACAGTTTCTTAAATATTATATCATTTGCATACATTGAAATCTATGATTAAAATACATTTAACAGAATTCAAACACATTAAAATAGATACACCAGTAACATCAGACAGACCACAAAGATTAGGTTACGACGGAATTCAAAATTTTGGAGCATCATTTTATTTATTATGCTAAAAGCAATTTATTTCCTACCCAAACAAGTGTGGAGTGGATTTGCTGAATTCTTCTATGCAATAAAATGCACATTCAATTAACAAGTCTTTAGCTTTCCTCTTTAATTGGATTTTTTTGGGGTTCAGGAATTTTATCGAAGAAATTTATAGAACCCTAAGTATAGAATGATATCCAAGGCCATTTTGACACCGCACCTATGTAAACGATGGTAAATAGATTATAGGTTATTTTTATTTCTTGTGTCATAATTATGAACATCACTATGCCGGACAAATCTGCCATGACTTTCGCTGACGTACATCAAGTTCTGCAAGATGTATTCAACTGGAAGAGTCAAAACTCTGAGGTCAACAAAAGCTTATTCACAGTCATTTCTGTGTTTCGAGCCTGCTATTATTCTTATGGCTCGCCTTTGGACGGCACAGACTCTGCGGAAACCGATTGAGTGGCCCCAAACCAATAGTGCATAACTTAAGTGTAAATCTGCTTCTCCCAATGCGTATCCACTAATGGATATTTGCGATAACATTTTCCATTGCTTTTCTATTCCTTGCGGTATATTGTATTAACGACCGCACATCATGTAGCCCTGTCCGCTGTCTGATATTTGGCAGCCAAAACATTTTCTTTCTTCCGATCCCTCTCCAGCCTTCGATCAACAGGTGCAAGAATTGGTATTTCGTGTTTTGCATTATATGTCCCAGATAATAATATGCCATTTTTCTCTTTTTAATCAATTCAAACAGTTCACGTTGTTTGTTGACACGTCTCAGGACTTTTTCGTTTTTTAGTCTTCTTCGTCCGGTTAAGGTATCTTAAGGATTGTGCGATACAGCCACATCTCGAAAGCCTCTAATTTGTTAATTGCAGTCTCCTTTAATGTGCAATTTTTCATACCGTAAAGAAGCACTGACCAAATGTAGCATTTAATGAATCTGATGAATGAGCTTAAGGTCAAAATCGGAACAGGTACCTAAGCCCTTTTCGAAACCTCAAGAATGCCCGTCGAGCTTGTGAAATGCGACATTTTATTTCCTTGTCTGATGTCCAATTTTCGAAAAGCCAGATGCCCATCAAGTACTTAAATTTATCCACTCTCTCGATGGGCCTTGTTTTTTTAGTTTTGATATTTAAGCCCATTGATTTGCTCTGTCCTCCTAACTTGTTCACTAATTGTTGTAGATCGTGTATGTTACCAGCAATTACGACCGTATCGTCGGCATAGCGGATATTGTTAATCTACACTCCATTAACTTTGACTCCTATCTCCACGTCTTCCAAAGCCTCCTGGGCTTCCGAATATAAGTTGAACATTTAAAAAAGTTTAAACTTTGCTTTGCCACACTTTTGTGACACATCCTGTATACTTGTAACTAACTTCACTGAAACCTTACAGATATTACCTACAACTTTCACATTTGACATTTCTCAGTATCTCTTCAAACAGGTGAGATAGGTGTGGGTGCAAAATATAGACAATCACCCGGTACTAGCATTACTAGCAAAAATAAGAATTTTTCATTATTGCACCAAATCTCTAACTATACAGGGTGAGCTAGTAAAGTTGGTCCGAAAATCATAAAACAATTATAGGCTTTTAATTATTGATGTTGGCCCTGCAAGCTACATAGGTATCGGGATTTTTGTTTCAAGTTTCAGACCCACTTTACTGGGTCACCCTGTATAGTTAGAGATTTGGTGCAATGATGAAAAATGCTTGTTTTTGCACATACCAAATTTAAAAAAAAACCGACTGGTCTCCGAAAACCCATAAGATGTGTGCCATGTCCTTTTACACTTAGCTTAGGCGAAGCCCTCTTGTGCTTCTTTCTTTGTGAATGGGACAATAACGATGTTCGGCGGATTAACCAACAAGCCTTCCTCCCTGCATCAATTAACTACTATGTTCAGTGCCTTTTGAGTTCTTTCTGAGATATGTTCTTGTAGATGCGTGTCTCTGTGACTATCAGGACACTATCGTCCGCGTAGCCGAGGTAGTGAAATCTCTCCTTAGCTATTTTTGGCAGGGGATCGTCGACCAGGGGCGCCCAGATGTTTATCATATAACAGATAACAGCATTAACTAATCTGATTATTTTTAGGTCAAAGAATGGGTTTTCTAATAGAAGATCAAAATCACGAAGTAGCAGAAAAATTGGCAAAATCAGTTCAACAAAATTTTGTCGCTTGTAGAGATACGTATTATGGGTTGCCTCTATGGAAACTATTTCCCACAACTTGCTACAAAAAGCTGTGCGAGAGTGAAAACGATATGTATGAATTTGCTTCAGAACTGATAAACACTGCTGATGAATCTATAAAAAATAGTGTTGTGTTCCAGGTAGAGTACCAATTTTAGGATATACTTCTTTTGCTTGAATTTGGCGCTATTTAAATTACTATTATAAAACTGTTCCATAGTGAATACTTACTCATTTTCCTAGAAAGAAAACATTCTATGAATATTAATTTTGTAGTCCGTCTTGAATGCAAATATCGATGAAAGAGAAAAGAAATCAGCTATAGTAGATTTTCTGGCAGCAGGAATTCACACCCTAAAAAACAGCCTACTTTTTTTGTTATACCAAGTTGCAATGAACCCAGAGTGCCAACAAAAAATAATCAAAGACTCTACCAAATCCTACCTAAAGGCAAATACAGAAAAACACTCAAATACAATTCTTATATTATAGTAAATTTTAGGCATGTTCCATGGAAACCTTCCGACTATCTCCAACAGTGAACTTTTTAGCAAGAATAACTGATGCCGATATGGAAGTAGCAGGCTACCATTTGAATGCTGGCAGTGTCATTCTTTGTCACACCGCTTTAGCGTGTAAAAATGATAGTAACTTCAAAGAAGCCGAAAAGTTTAAACCAGAAAGGTGAGAAGTTTGCTTCGTAACAAACCCCAACCAATATCAACTGATCAAACAACTTTAATCAGTGTATACTCATCTGAGGAAAGAATGTCCAATGTATTAATTGGACCTGAATGAAATACAAACATTTCGAATATGGAATAGAATGACTGAATGACAGATACATGATGGTTCATCTTGTATGACAAAATCCTGCTTGTTTAGGTTTTATGTTTTAGCATGCATTATAGTCTGGTCTGGTTTGTATTCCCATGTGCTTTTTCGGTACCTATGCAAGCAAGCGTGTTTTTTTTTAAAGGTTTCTAATGCACTAAGGTGTAAATGGTTCTTTCGTTGTATGATTGCTAAATCTGTCCCTATTTTGTCTTAATTTATGTAGGAACATTCTTAAAAAGAGAAAAAACAACCACGAGATAGATCATAGACTGCGCATGCGCATAATTTATTGTTGAAAAGCACTTATTTACAACATAATGAGCTCATTTCAAAGCTCTCATCAAAGAAGGTCTGGTTGGAGGTAACATGCCGTGTGTTAGCTGCTTCTCGGAAAAAAAATTCCTCCATAGAATTTCTTCAATGTCCGGTGAAGTTGTACCTATTTGGTAAAATACTTGGCAAATGAATTTTTCAAGTAATTTTAAGTTTTGATCGGTAAACCATGATTCATTTCCAACAGTGGCGGATCCAGAGTTGCTTTTCGGGAGGCACTTAACCTGAGAACGTAGTCATTTAGCAGCCGTCGGAGGCTAATCGACGAAGGCGAAAAAATTTAGGGTGCCACGCCGCCCCACGCCCCTTTTTTGGGCCCCGTTCAACGATATATTTTAATATCAATATTTAGTAAAGGTTCGTTTTCCCGGTGATAATTTTTGCAATAGTTGCTGTCTGGATAATAACTAGGTATCACATAAATTATTACCATGTAAATAACCCGATAGTATAGTATTTTTAATACCTATTTAGAAGTACCAGTCATTCTAGTGGCAAAACGTATTTCGCTTCTTGACACACAAATAAAATCAGGTTAGGAATTTCCTATTTGTACATGAAATTGACGTATTAGCAATCGACGTTCGTTTTTGTTGGTAATTTTTTGTTTCATCTGATTCGTGAATGATAAATAAGGATGGGGTTATTCTAAATGGGTACTACAAATACTATAGCTATCATGCTGACGCGACAGTGCTGACGCTTTGGTACTTTGCTTCTCATAGCCAACTGGCAACAAGTTGCTTGAGGATATTTTTACCTTCCTGACTAGCTGCGAATGCTCTTGATGGCTCCTAGAGCCTTTAGAGCCGCTTGACTGCAGGACAGTATGTAAAAGTGCCCTCTTAAAAGGCCTCTTTTAAGACTCTCTCGGGCACAGATATTTATGGCCAGTACCTAGGCTTGAAATATTGCTAAGGAGAGTTTTAAGTTTGGTCCAGTTATTTCCAGACCGACTCCTTCCGTTAGCCTCGAACCATTCGTGTACCACAGTGATGCGTTGTCCACTTGTAGTAGCGTTGCTTGCTTCCATGATTGGCGTTCTTTCACAAACACTTCATATGGAATGTCAAAGTCCAGTGATGTTCTGATATGATCTCTTGGTTTACTTTGGCACTCGAGCTTTATAGACTGAAGGATGCGTAAGTGGCGACTCAGATCACCAGGTTTAAATCTTTTTGTCTGGAATAGCCTATAGGCATCTATTCTGGCCTCTTTTCACCTATAGGTGAAGAGAAAGCATGTTCAGCAGTGCCTCTAAGGCTGCGGTGGGAGGTGGGACAGGTTATCATAGCCACTGATATTTCCAGACAGATCAGCCTTTGTACTTTACGTAGACTGTCCTCTGAAGTAATTAGGTACCTTTACACTTAGACTCTTTCACGCGCTTTTAAGACGGGACGTGCTAAACCCGCACGAAAGCGACCCTCCAAGAACGTGGCGTTCCAAGAGTGTGTCACTGAAATTTAAAATATTGCAACGTTCCAATCGCGAAAACTTGTTCAAATGTCTGGAACGTAAGAGAAAAACCATGTCAGTGTAAATCGAAAACCTTTGATTTCAGCGCGTACTTTGCGTGGCTCGTGGCATTTTAGAATTTCTAAAATTTTTTGAGTGTTATTATGCAAAATGTACAACATTTTTCCATATACACTCTGTATATAGTTAATAAATATTAGTTTATATGTTGTTTATTTATAACAATATTTGAAAGCCGAATTCCTGCTGCCCTCCAGCTTGGGTAGTTGGTCGGGTTTTTCATGATTGCAGTATTTGACTAGCATCTTGAGTAATAACAATAAATAACTTTAAAATTACCTCCGTGTATTTCTTCAAATTAATTACATACACAACATTAAACGTAGAAAGTTGAAAGTTGCCCTCATGCCTGCAAATTATATCGATTCGGAAAATAAGACAAGCAAAAAAAAAGGATATGGGTGAAGAAATGGATGGAAGATCGCAACAAATACGGGTGATTTCTAAACAAAACATAAAAATGAGAGAAAGTATAAGTGCCAAAGAGACTAGCAGTTACATTGCGCTATTTAGCTACAGGTCGCTCTTATGAAGATCTTGAATTTTCGACAGGAATTTCACCATCATTCTTAAGTCACATCATACCAGAAACATGCAAAGCCATTTATCATTTTTGACTTATTGATTTCGGGCACCATAAAATCAGGGACACTTTATCCGTTAGGACAATTATAGTCTGGCAAGTGGTAACTTGGTAGAGACGAAAGGGGGAAGAAAAAAGGGGCGTAGCCTAAAAATATTCAATGACACCTCAACTGACACCGCCTGATGACAGCCATGTCTTTGGGTTCAGTGGCACCGAAAACACCAGGAAAATAAACTAATAAAATTATTAGAAAAAAAATCTCTAGTTTCGTCAATAACCACGCCACTGCATGCTGTCGTTCAGACTCTAACCAATAGAATCATGCCTCTGAATAATCACGCCTCTCTACATCCATTATTTCGCAATGTTGCCGGATTTTTTTCTATTTCAAAATACTACCTATGCCCATATAGCAAAAAAAAAATGTCACTAACTTGTTTATTATTGTTTCCGTCAAGTTTGGCAAAGCAGCAAATTCTATTGGAGTTCGCCGTTTCGCTAGCCAGACAATAGGTCATGTCCTACGGGCCACTAGAGAATGAAGGCCAACTGCTGGCCTTTAATTTATAATATACTAGCTAATGACCCGCTGCGTTGCCAGCGTGAAAATACATTTTGAGATAAGACACTTTTTTTTCAAATTTTCTTGTTGATTTTCTATTTAATTTTTTTTTTTATCTGATACCAGAGTCGCTTGCCAGTGAGTTCAGTGACGCATTTTAAGCACTCCAGAGCTGCTTTAGAGCGTCCCGGGCTGTTTATAGGCATTCCAGTGTATCAGAGTTTCGCGCACCGAACTTTTTTTTTCGGGATAAAAAATAGCCTATATCACCCCCTCCTCTATAGCCGAATTCGATTGATCGGATTAGATCGATCTGGTTCAATTTAAGTGAACCACACTGTGTTCGATTGAGGCTGGATCAGTACACCCTCATCAACAAAAAATTATCTAGATCAGAAGAAGTTCACTTAAATTGAACCCAAATCGATCTAATCTGGGTCAATCAAATTTAGCTTATATAGAGATACGTGCTATTAATTCAAGATTGATCCAGCCGTTCTCGAATTCAAAAAATAATAAAGTTACGTCGGTTGAATGCAAGTCTAAATAAATGAAATATGGCAACGTTGTTTCATGCTGTCAAAAAAAAGTTGGGTCATGTTGTTATGTAATGTGAATGAGTTTGTTTACAATTAAATTAATAATTAATTCAAAAGTAATTTCTTTTTCCGAGATGCGTAACCTATTCACAAACCTTCCTTGGGATGGCCATAACAACCTACCAAAGTTTCATCGTAATCGGATAAGTGGTGTAGGAGCGCATATCCGGATACCCCTCGAACATTGACTTTTATATATATAGAAAATATAAGAGCCCACTATACTAAAAACATCGACTTGTTCAATAGCAGGACTAGCATATATTTCAATACTCTTTAATTCTTATAATTCACACTGCACAATCACATTTGGTTTGGCCAGAGTGCACTGCCTGACGTCACGATGCTCTGGAATCGCTCCGCTCGCTCCATCGAGCATCAATCCGGAAAACACCCTAGAGTCACCGAGCTGCACTGAAGAGCTGCGCTGAAACGCCGTCGCGTCATTAGCGCAGCACGGGCACGTGGCAACTGGCAACTGGCAACGACTACAGCAGGAACCTGTTAGTGTTTGCGCTGCTTTGCCAAATTGTAAGTTTCTTTGAACTTGTTCTGGAGCATCCAGGGACTTGAGCAGTGTCTTAAGGGTCCAGTGTACCCCGAAGTCGTGCCTTGTTGTTGTTGAGCTTGTAAGACATGCACAGGCAAAGTGGTACGAATTTCCCTCATAGTTGCAACCCTTTATGCATCTTTTCCTCGCTAATGGATTTGATCCCAAACTATGCAGCTGTTCTTCCGAAGCACCCATCAGTACACTTAGTCCCCAGCATCCATATGTGGTGATTGGTAGGCTGGGAGCTTAATGCCATCATTTTCTTTAAGGACGTTCCGACCATATAGCATGTTTTGTGACCATTCTTGTTCCATCATTTTGTAGTACCTTTCTTTGATTTTACCGTATACTACTTGGCAACATTTTTTGTCTTCATATTCTGCCAGGCAGAGCTGTCAGAAAAAAGTATCTTAGTTACTTTACAGTATCTTAGTTACTTTATAGTATCTAAGATACTGTATCTTAAATACTTTTTATTTTTGGCAAAAGTATCTAGTATCTTAGTTACTTTTCAGAAGGATCTGTAACTTGTATCTTAAAAAAGTATCTTAGATACCGAAAAGTATCTGAGATACTTAAAAGTATCTTAGATACTGAAAAGTATCTAAGATACTGAAAAGTATCTTAGATACTGAAAAGTATCTTAGGTACTGGAAAGTATCTTAGATACTGAAA